TGACATATTTATGTTTCTAAAATAACAAAAACAATTTTAATTAAGTAGGTATTTCCCTATTAAGGTCTAGTTTTTTGGAGTTTCAGTCAGTTGAAATCGATTTGGAAACGGTTATTGGTTTATACGAATCATTAATGCAATATGTATTAGATTTAAGAAGTATGTTTGATATCTATGAAGAGAAAGGAACTAAAAAAATTAGGACTCATAACATTTATAAAAAAAAAAACATAAAGGAAAAAGAAAATTAACGATGGATGAAAAAAGAGAAGAAGAAATAAATTTTGAAATCCGAGACTCGTGTAGGATTAATAGTTACTATACTCATGACAAATTAAACAGGCTAGATTACGAAATTTTTTTATCTTTGCTCATTTGTTTCAGTCATGAAAGATTTTATAACTTAAAATCAGAAATTATCACGATAAAATACTTCTTTTTCCAAGTCTGGGGCAATTTTCCTGTGCGGTATTATCTAGCAATCATGCCTGCGTTATGACTATACAGCTATTATTGACAGATTACATTCATAACTAGAAAAAAGAAAATTGTACTATGACAAAGCTAATAAAAAATTTAACTGCTTGTTTCAAATTATAAAACTATCACCGTAAAAACTTAAAATAAAAACAAAAATACTATAAAACATGTATACGAATGATCTTTCTTCTTAATTTGCTAATGAATGTATACAATTCAGAAGTTACTTAACGAATTTATCGGTAAATAAATTGCCTACAACTATAATCGATACTTTAACAAATTGTGTGTAATTTATTTATACATAATATCGTATCAATGAATAATAATCATCAAACATTTGCATACAGCTATAATTTTAATAATAAATCTCATTTGACAGTTGCGTAATACCTTAATTTTTGTTAATGTCAATATACAAATCTTTATTATTATTAACAAATATGAACGCTATTTTAATTAAACATTTTCTTTTTTATTGTATAACAGTGAAATACGCGACTCCAGATTAAACGAATTTTTCTATAATAAGTAAGTAAATAAGTTGAGTTTTCGAGTGTAAAGGTTCAAAATCCTACAATAAACGATTATTACAACAAAGGGCTAGTTAATATTAACCGGACGTTTAAAGTGACTGACAATATACAGATAGGGCTCAACAATTATCAAGTAGGGAGAGGAAGACTCTTATATAACCTAATGGATGCATGGAATACACAATTTGTCATTGTTAAATTCGATTTTATGTAGTAATATACTATGGAGAATGATGTTCACCTAGAATAATATGATTATTAAGCGAAGGAAAAAAGGTACAAATGACATTATGCCGTTGTCATGAAAAATAGAAAATTAACTTTTAAATCAAAATATAATATATAAAATAAAATAATGCACAATTACTTTTGACATTTCACAAAAATAATTTAATATTGTTAACAGGGTAGTAATGTTCAATATGCTGAAATGAGCTGGATTTGTATTTACTATTTATGGAAAGAAGATTTTTGTTTTAGAAATTATAAAAAAATTAATTAGCAGTGATACATTTTGGATGTATATAAAAAGAGACAAAAATTATGAAATATGTCAGGTTTGGCATAAACACCTTTAATATTTAATGCACATTCAAAAGGTCTTAGATTATAATATTTGAAAGAATATACAAATAGGGGTCAAGATATGGAAGTGAGGATGGAAAGTGAACTAAACATGAAACAAAACGCTATGAAGACGAAAATTTTAGTCTGCAGTAGAGAAAATAATTTAAGGTCAAGGATAAATTTAAAAGGAAATAAATTAGTACAGGTAGGCGACAAGATAATTGGGAAGTACTCTAAGCTAACAATATTAAACCCATATAATAAAAAATCAGCAATGGAATTAATATTAATAAATGAAGAGGAACGCCAACAATATTCAATAAAGAAACGTAGAAAATTGTTGCAACCCTATCCTTGGATTGAAAACTCTAGAATTATAGTACAACTAATTTTGTATTAGAATAAGGAATAATTTATTTTGAAAAAAGTCTTTGTTACTATATCGTCTATAAGATAATTTATGCTTGGTGGCTGAAGTTATGATAGTAAGAGAGAGAGAGAAGTAGAATGGATGGGAAAGAGAAGGGGAGAATAGAGAAATAAAAATAATCTATAACATTATTATTTATTACTATCAAGCCTAGGCCTTTGGTGGTTATTGATACTCACTTTTTCATTTAAATAACCCAAACCAGAAAAAATTCAAAAAAGTATAAGCAAATTATTTATAATGTTAATTAAACAGAAATTCTCCATGCAAGACAAAACAATATTATATAAAAATAAATATGATACACAAGTCTATTAATAAATTAAATATGCAAAAATAAACAGATCGGTTTGCTCATTTAGACCAACCTAAGTAGGTTATATTTTGTTTTTTGTATTCATAAAAATATCAAGTAGTTTCGTGACGATCGCTATAAATGTCAAACGTGTATACTTGTACTATTATGTTTTTTTTATTTGTAATTATTAAAGTTATTACAATAAGTTTGCTTTTCGTCTAACGACGTTCAACCCCGTAGACGGCGACGACACCACAGGGACACAGACTAATCCTCACGAATACCACATTATTATTTTAAGTTATAATCTTGACCTCGTTTCTCCATGAGAGTTGGTATGTGCGTTTAAGTGTTAACCGGTACGGTTTTCGTTTCCGGAGAGGAGAAAGTAGCTGCTGTATAGATTCTAGTTGGCCCACGATCCGGTTTAACTAACGGTTACACATTTATCCGTCAAAGACAAATAATTTCTAATTTTCCCCGACGAAAAACTCGCAAAATATAGATGACGTTTGTTGGTTATGTTGGCGCCAGTCAAAGTTATTATTATTATTATTTTATTGTATTTATTTTTTGAAGATTAAGATTAAACGGAGGAAAAATTACCAAAAAAAGAAACTTGAAACTAACTTAGGATATCTACACGGACGTTTTAAAATAATCTTATTAAGTTTTGACAATAAAATAAGAAGCTAGTACACATTGGGGGTGGGGACGATCACAGGATTTCACGAATAATAATTATAACTAAAAGTGGTAAACTCGGTTAAAGCCGACTAATGTAGGAAAACTTATAAAATATAAAAATAAATGATTTTATAGCCAATAAATGTTAAATTATGCCGTTTGATTTTTTGGGGTTTTCACGGTTAGGTTAGGTTCACAGTTATTTTAAAATTACACAATTATTAAATAGGTATAAGTCTTATATTTTTTAGATCTGTACACACATTTAGAACTTAAATAAGTAGGTTACAACCCCTTATCCTGTATGTATGTATATATTTATATAATTTTACAATGAATACATAATATCACATGTTATTTCGACAGAAGTCACAGTCTATATTAAAAAAAAAAAATCAAAGATATTTTGGGGAACGGTTTGAAACCTCAACCCTCCCTCCCTCTGGATACTATCTTAAGCATATAGGGTAAAATTTTTAAACTTTAAGTCTTACTTTAACATCTTCTGCTTTTTAGACTTGCTTCATGATAAAATAGTTAAGGTTATTAAAGTTATCGTTGGTACAAATGAAAACACCTCATTTTAAAACCAAATCAAATAAGTGTTAACTTATAAATCCAATAAAAGTAATAACTATTCGATTGATATTGGTACCTACACTTCATATTGTGCTCAGGAATTTGATTTATATACCAGTTATGTTGATATATTTTGCACCCCAGGGTTCTTGCTCCATACAAATACGGTCATGTTGAACGTTGGTCGTAACGCTCCGTTGTCGAGTACTTGGATAAGTAATTTTTTTTTTAGGTTTTTAAGTTTTGGATGTAGTAAACGACAGCACGTGACTGAATGCGCTTGAACCATGGAGTGGTAAACACGCTACCGAATATAAGGTCAAGCAAATGGTTTTTGTGTAGGTTTTTAATCTTTGATGCGGTAGCTGTTATCATCTCAATTATATCAAACATTGGCTACACAAAAAACTAAAGTTGTAACTTTTTTTTTTGTTTAACGCAACTGTCAAAAGTTGATTAAATTTAATATAAAAACAATATTTGATTAAATTAGGAGTGTAAAATAACACGCGAAAAATAAATGACCATGAACATTGACGCTATACTTTATTTCCTGCCTTTATGGCTTTTTTTTTTAATTATTGGATGAAACTGAAAGATAGAAACGTACAAAACAATAATAATTATTATTGTTAAGAGAATTTTTAAAATTAAAATTAATAACGAATGTAAAATACTTCTTGATTATTTTGTTGTGCTTTATAAATACAGTTAATACTTTTTTTTTATATCTATTAGATTAGGAATCGAAGCGTTTATTTAGGGATTTTAACATGAAAGATTTTTGGAAGTAAACCGAAATTTACCACTTGCATTATTCGACACATCATCGCCTGATGATATAAATGGCGAGTCGGCTCATCAAAAAACTAGGGATTTTTTTTTCATGACGGTTTACAAATACAATAATAATAGATAATAACATAAAATTACGTGTTTAGTAACATATCGACGGCTGTGTGATAAGTGTAATTTTACAGCTAGTATTAACGATAGAAGCTAAAGATCAAACTTTATACGCTAAATGCATCGTCGAGTTGTTGTACAAATAGTATAATTTATAAATGGTAAACGTTGTTGTAAAATTATACAAAAAAAAAAGTCACTAATGTGCACCTGTGATGGCTATATGCCATCGATAATACACGATTGAATTGCACATTGAAGCATAAATATAATGGTCAAATGCAAAGATTGCGTTTTTCGATCTTAAAAAAAAAAAAAAAAAAAAAAAACGACAAATATTACACTACATAAATACTATCATCTACAATAAAATAATAATAATAGCCATGTAATACAATAAAAACAACGATATAGTCAGCTGATGACTGGCCAGTGTGACTAAACTCCCACCAGCAGAGAGGACGGCCAAAAGGAAGAAGACCAAAACGGTAACAAAACGGTTTCGACCAACGTTGAAGTTCAGCCGAACAGTTACCGATCCGCAACGGTTTGGGACGGGTTATCGTTCACCTAGTCCGTTTCTGATCATCGTAATAACGTGTACACGCATTGCCTACTTTCATTTATTGTCGTTTTTTTTTTAAAATTTTAAATCGGTTTTCAGTTCGTGTATTTGTCGGCAATAAAAATAAAATGTGCGACACCAAGACGACAGACAGCCGGTGACAAAACGACACAGTTTTTCCATTTCTCAATTATTTTTCACGTTCCTAGAATACTTACTTAGAAAAATAATAATATAATCTACATTACCTACAAATTATAATAGTGATAATAAAAAAAAAACGATGATTGTTAACCGGCGGACAAACGTGTTATGGTTTATCACATTCACGGCGATGTTAGCGCATAACAGTAAGTATAACACTGAAAACAATAATACAACCCTTAGACTTGTCGACCGACAAAACTTATATACTTAATTATTCCGAAAAGCGTTATCATAGAACCTAACTTAAAATATATTCCAATTGTTGAAAGCTAATCAAAATGAGAAAGATTTAAACACGCGAACAGATGAGGTATCTAATATTGTATTTTTGTCAGCGCACTACTTTTGTAGCATTTTGACTTTAAAATGCTAACAACCTAAGGAACAGTTAATTATAACTGGTTATGACTCATTCTATATCTTCGTGAAGTATAATTAATTTCGATCATTCTGGTTTTCACACACGGCCCCATATGTAATAATGTGTTAATTAAATGTTCGAATTGTAACATTAAACCCATATAATTATAGTTTTAATTTGACATAATTGCATACAAAATCTTTTGTAAGATTACAGTTATTACTCGTTATAATAGTATTACAATAAAATGTATTTAAAAACGATTTTCAATTAAATACAATGTCATACAATTTAATTACAAAAATACCGTTTTGTTGAGTTTTTCAAAGTCGATTACAAGAATTGGTATTTACATAGATTGTATACGGTGTACAAACCAACAGGTTCATTTATAGTCGGCTGCCAAACCATCACAAGGAATGCAAATTGCATAGCACCATAGAAAGGTTGGGTTTCCCTTTTCGCTTACAACCGGTTCCGCGCTAAAAAATTGTATTTTAATAGTAAACGATTTTTATATCTGAATAAAAACATTTATAATTTCTTTAAAAACTCTGCTTGTACGCATGGCCTTAATGCAAAAATTGAAATATTGCAGGAAGTTTTGACAGATTTTGTTATTATTGTAAAATTAATAATTGGGAAAACACAAAAAGCAACCTTTTTTACTTACTTTTATCAAATCGTTAATAAAATAAAAAACGATATTAAAAAGAAAAAGTTACATTACTCGTCAGTCGTCGAGTAAAATACAAATTAATAGCAATGACAAATCGCTGGAAAATGGGGTTGGTCACTATTTTACTAAACCATACAATGAGCAATAAACCTAAATCGATTCTGCCAACGCTTATTTTGAGTTGACTCAATTTTGGAGGTTAGTCAAGAGCAGAAACCTCTAATCACCCCAAAAAAACCTATACAAAAAAAAAGAGTTATGCGCGATAAGTTTACATAAGACTAAAAAAAAATCTTGCATATTTAGAGAATTTCGGAGATTTGTATTATTTTTGTTCTGAAAAATGTATTTTACTCTTTTTTTCCCGCTGTTATAGGTATTGCAAAACAGCTAATAAAATAACGTCACGGTTAGATACTATAATTTTTAAACTATTCTCGCTTTTATATTATATAGAAAAAAATTTAACTGGGCGAATGTACCGTTACCGCAGTAGTGGTTTTTTACCGGTTCATAGTGGCGCGGCATGGCACTTTTTACATATTAAACAAAAACGGTCCATAGCCTTGCTCCTACTGAACACGTTATTTATTTTACTTCGTAAAATCTTTTGCTGCTAATAAATAGTTCATTAAACTTGAATACCGTTCGACGGCCCGCGGGTATATAGAGGACTTTTAAATTAAAAAAAAAAAACCCGAATTAAATGTTAATTATTGTTGAGCGGGTGTCGATTGTTGGCAGATTCTCTGTCAAAAGACTGACTATAGTGAGTAGGTTTAATCGTACAAAAACCACAACGCTGAACAAACCAAAACAAATCGTTTGGTATGTGAATCTCGTTATCACAATTAGCTATTAAATATAAAGTAATCGTCAAACCGACCACAGTCCACACAGAGCCGCCAATGCTATATCGTAAGATTTTAAGTCGAAACGCGCGCAAACAAAAAATATTTCAAGTACAAGGCAACGGGCCGTCTATGCCAACTTATGTGCACCAGTCACGTTTTTATTTTACTAACACGTCATCATGTAATCTTTAAAGTTATAAACAAAATTGGTAAAAAATAACTAAGTTGGCTTTTAATGTTTTAGTCCAGCAAAAGTTCGATATTTACCTAAAAATATAGGTAAAAATATTTGAGAGTCAATGCGTACTCCTATATTATCTATTTTCTCGGTAATAAATTTGACTACCAACAAAATACAAACGATATAATTAAAGATTTGTTCAACATTTTGCAAAGTTATCACTGGTTATTATAATTTATAATAATATATCGTGTTTAGAAAAATCACTTAACATGGTATCTTAAGAGTTCGATAAAACATTCGAAATTCGATACAGTTATAGAAAATGCCTTGTGAAATAAAATAAAATCCAGAACGTTTATGAAAAGGTGACTTAGTATGATGACCAGATGGTAATAAATTGGAAAATGAGTCTTAGCGACTTATTAAAACATTAACACAAAATGATGTATAGTATCGGTTAGCGGATAGCACTAACATTATATTTTTAGTCTGCTAACTGATTCAGTATCGAATCATCACATCATTTTAGATATTCTTTGCAATAATTTCTCAGTTAAAAAAAACATTCTCGTTGCTATCATAATATTTTCACTCCTTGATGAAGACACGAAAAATGATAATTTTACAATTTTTATTTTATAGTTTTGTACACTACAACCACTTGGATTAAAATACAATTTTTTTCTTTCTTTTTTGCAGCAGTCAGAAGCGAAATTGACTGTTATGAATGTACAGTACATCCGCCAGAAAGATATTTAAACAAAACGGCAAAATTGTGTTCAAAATTTGATTCGTCCGATTTATTCAAAGTACATTGTCCTTATTCAACGTTTTGCATGAAGAAATCGTTTCAATTAGAAATGCAAGGAGGAAGTAAGTACTAAAACATGTATTTAACACAGGTTAAAAGTAGCATTAACACTTATGTTTTTGGTATTTTGGTTAAAGAAATAGTTAAGGCAGCGGTGAGAGGGTGCGCACCTCAAAAGAACGACAACCAGGTGTTTAAAGATGGTAGGTGGCAGGTTGAAACGAAAATCGACTTAGACTCGTACACGAATGGATGTTTATCGGGAGACGACAAAGACAACCTAAGGACTTCCAAAACGGAGTTCTGTTATTGTGATGATAACCTGTGTAATGATGCCAACCAACCAGTCAATAATTTATCAAACCACTCAGACACCATAGCTGTTATTATCATTTACAACATAATGAGGTTTTTGAAAACACACACCCAACCGGCAACGTAGCATATTGTGCACGTTGTATGTTTGAATACAAAAAACTGTTAACAATTGATCTATGACAGTCACCGATAAATTGTTAGTAAGACTTTGACAACAAAAAAACAAGAGTAGAAGAAACAATATAAACTACTTGAGTATTTTCCTGTTTTTATTTAATTTATTATTATTGTATCATTTTAGTGGATTTTGTTTTTTTATTTTATTATTATTGATTAATAAATAACATGTATATCGTTTATTGTTTGAGAATCGGGCCAATATCAACGACAAGAACATGATAATCTTTAAGAATCATTTGATAATTAGTATAGTGCTACTCGGCTGTGTTTAATTGTAATAAGTAATTTAAGTGATATTTTTAATATTTACTCAAAATAAAAAAAAATAAAAATAAATGTGATTATCAATATTAAATGGTATTTAACCATTGTTACTTATTATATTAAAAATGAATTATTTATACAAATACCACGCAATTAAATTTCATCATGTTTGAAATAAATGATACATATAATCATATATTTTTTTCTCTTTTTACCTCTGTAATCACTATATTCAGGACTGAGACAGTTTATAGATTTGGCAGGTACATTCAATTATATTATTTTAGTTAAATGTGTATACTAAGATCTAAAGCTATTTGAGTTTCAATTGACACACAAAGTAAACAACTGCATTTTAAAATTATCTAAAAGATTTTTGTAAGCTTGAACAGTACTTTTTATACTTTCTAGTAACTGTTTCTTAAAAAAAAAAAAAAAATACAGGGTAATTACTAAAAAAATATTTTTAGATGTAGAATAATTGTCAACTTTACATCATTTACGTAGAATAATGTGCTGTCAGACGGTGATTTAAACTAATAATAGCGGTAATTAAAATTACGACCCACTTGTATAGAATTAGGTACTATCAAGCTTTTACATACCTGGGAGCTATGTTCAACTACGTACAGGAATACCACATCTTCTCGCCGTAACCTGACAGCGGAATGTAATGGATATTTAGTTTTACTTTTAAACATGTGATAAAGAAATTGAGCCGACATGTGTGCGAAATCATCACTTGTAAAATCATCCTAAATATACCAAAATAAAGTAAAATATCATCGCAGAATAATAATTTTAAACTGAACTTATTTTAACCATGAAATAATAAGTAATGCTTACCCAATGAGCTGATATTAAACTTGAACAGTGTTCTTTTAATGTTTGAGCTCCGATTTCATCAGCTGTCGTAAAGAACTTTACACAGTTCTTGACATTCACTGAAGCCATAAGAGCTTTCTCGCATCTAAACAATAATAAATTAAATGAATTGTTTTCCTAAAAATTAGTATTTGATATTCTCATTTATTGGTTAAACAATTTTTGGCTTACTTATTGACGAGATCGTCTAAAAGAAATGTGTCGGCTGTTTTCATTAAGCTCAAAGTAAAACTATCACCTTTGGAAAAATCAACTTGGTCAGTATAAATCCATTTCAGCAATGCTTTACCGACCTCTAATGGCAATACAGTCCAATCTGAAATAAACATATATAAATGTATAACATTACATAAAAATATGTGAGAAGACTATTATTTATTATTATTAATGCTGTATAAACAAATTACCTAGGTCAACGACTTCGGTTAAATCTGGAACACCCCAATTGTCACTACGAGATGACAAAACAAATTTATGGGCGGGAACATCGCCATTAGCTAATGCTATATTTAAATCGCTGGAAAAAACCAAGTTTTTAAATTTACTTAATTCAAGTGGTATTCATATATTAATTAATAATGAATAAGAAATTTATTGGTAAATTAAAAAACTAATTGGAGGCCGTTCTAAAACTTTTCAATAGAACTTTTTTTTTTGATATTTGTTCAAATAAAAATACAATGTTATATATTATTTAAGTTTTTAGTTAAATGTATTTTTATTTAAAACAGTTATTTAATATATATAAATAATGACCAGGTTTGCTCAATATATTACATGTATGAATGCCCTAAACGTAACATTAGCAAAGTTTGTGTTTATAATAATTTTAAATGGTTAATATGGTAGAATAAAATTAAACATGCAAAACACAACCAAGTAAAATATTATAATCAGTATTACCTGTAAAGTTTATTGTTGTAGAGCGTTGTTACTGTTTTTAACAATCTAGAGACAAAACTTTTATCGTTACAATCACCATATGTTGCTGCTAAAGTGGCATATTTTTTCTCCAAATCACTACAATATGCTTGCAGTTTCACATATTCTTCTTTCAATAAAGAAAGGTGTTGCTGTTGCTTGTGTTTTTCAGAATCTCCGGACATTCCTAAATTAATAAACGAGCAAATATAAATTAACAAATTGTAAATTGTTGAATAAAAGTTTACTAGTTTTTATGGTATTGACAAAACTTGTTAAGTGAATTAGTAAAACGACTTCACAAGTTATTTGTTATTGTAGAAACAATTTTCCTAAAAAACAAGTTTTCTGGTTTAACAGAAGGAACCTCCCACCAATATTGTTATGATACTTACATAAAATACATAATATTTAAAAAGGTAACTACTTCTCAGACTGATATTCAGACAATTGCAATGATTAAATAAAACAGTAATTTGACATACAAATTAATAATTTATAAGTTGTAACACGATTAAAACACACTGTATAATATGTAACAAGTCTGCGTTGTTAAATAAGAAAACGAAATTAATCATAAATTGAAAAAAAAAGCTTACCGTCTCGAAATAAATCAGATGCGGGCATTCTAATATCAAAGCACTTTTTTCCTGTTTGTATCTAAACAAGCCAAGTGCATTGATTCTGTATAACAATTAATTTTTACCGGTGGAAATGTATAAAAATTCCACTTTTCAATTTCAACCACCGCACAGATTCTACGGCGGCGAAGGTACCAAAAAAATACAAATTCATACTGATAACAGCAGTGGTTCTGAGGAAACCACAGTTTGAAGGCGGTTACCGAGATAACGACTACAAAGTACCACACAGTGAAATTGATTAACCAGAAATTCAATAGTATAGGAGCCAAGCCACAGAGAGCGCTAAATATGTAATTCACTTGATTGGAAAAAGTGCCGTTTTTTTTATTTTCATAATATAGCCATCGAATAGGTAGTAGAAGTTTTACTGTTATAATAAAAATAAACTATTTGTTTGACCTTTTATTTTGTATAAGACAATAGTTCATGTTTTTATATTAATGCAAAAACACAATATTGAACATAGGTCAGTTCACGTAGTAGGTACTTGCATACTTTGTATAATAATTACTAGATTTAACTTTATTTTTTAAAACGGCTTGAATAGAGCTTACGTATAGAAGCCAACCGAAATTGGGTCACAGGTTGGACCGAACCCAACCAGTTTCAATAAAAACAGAAATCTAACTCATTATCTCTAGTGATATTATTAAAATATCTATTGTTAATCACACGTTTTAGATAATAAATTTTTTTAAATTTCTGTATGTGGGTTCTAGGCAGCAGCCTATCTCAATTTAACCTTTTACCTGCGGACATGGAAATTAAAAAATTCTGTTACCTTTCATCCTATACAATTCCATTGTTGGTAAACACCCAATTAATACAAATTCGGCACTTTTTATTTAACAAAAGCTTTTACGGTTTACATAACACCAACATGTTACACCTAAAAACCAAAATGGAAGACACCTACCAACTAAATTAAACCTAAGATAGAAGAACTAGTAACGAGTATAACTTTGTAAGGCATAAAAACAAAAGATAATTGACTAGAAGTTATATTTAAAATTTTTTTTTTTATTATAAATTGTCCAAACATAAAAATGTATACAACAATTATTTGGCAGCTGCAGTTGCCTTCTCTTCTTCTCGAATTCTGTCCTTCTTCATTGGGCCCATAAACGCTGCCTTGTCTGCAACAGTCTGGAAACGTCCGTGACCGAATTTGGAAGAAGTATCGATAAACTTGAGATTGATGCTTTCCAAAGCAGCACGTTTCGTATGTACCAAGAGAGACTATATAAAATCAAAATATTACAGTTAATAAATATACATGTAAAACATTAAAAGTATGATAAAAAAAATAAAAACTGATTTTTTCAAACTGTCCGCATATTAGATGATAAAAGAGCATTAGCTCAGTTGGTAAACGTATCAGCTCATATTATGAAATGTCATGATAATTATTTTATGTAACAATGTATTACATTATGCTGAATAAATAATAACAATAATCTACGACCTCAGTCCTATCAATGCGTTAAACACAAACATTCATATTATATCATGAAATAAATGGCTCTAGTTGTTATGCATCATTGGTCATAAATATATTATTACTTTTAGTTAAGTTTTTTATTGCAGTCTTCTGACAGATATTAGTTAATTTATTATCACCTTATAATTTGTATTAAAACAAAAACTTCAGTTTCGGATAATTAAGATTTTAATTCACTGAACAGTCAAAGGATTGGCTCTGTTTTGCTCATCATAAGTTTTTGCCATAACACAAGGTTTTTAATTCAGTGGTGTAATTTTGGGGTACATATGTACTTACATTGAAAGAAAGAGTACTGAATCCACAATTTCAAAACATATAAATTACTTACTTTACGCAGAGTAATGACTCGCTTCTTTGGACCAACACAACAGCCTTTGATCATGATGAAGTCATTATTAACTTCACCATAATGAGGGAAACCACCCATTGGAGTGATGGTTTTTTCGGTCAAATCGTATTCGGTTGAAGCATTGTTCTTGATGACCTACAAAAATAATATAGAAAATATTAAAACACAAATATTATTAGAACTATTACAAACAATTCTATTTCAGAATATAGGCTTGTCAGTAGGAAGGCAGCATGGTGGTATCTTCATAGGTATCATCAAGAATGCAAACATCATGTGATATCATCATTCAACCCATAACAATTAAATAAAAGAAATGTGCTTAGCATGGTCTACTAGCAAGTCACAGCCCGACGGGCTCTTGCACGTTACGGAATAATGCCAACCTTCAACACCATTCGCTACACAAGGTAGAGAGGGTCGAAATTTATTTTTGATGTGATAGCCTATACGCCTCAATCTATTTTAAGACCCTTGGGCTATCAGAATGGAATTAACCATTCCATCATATTGATGAAGTTTATTTACATGTTTTAATCTTGGCTTGTCAGTAGGAAGGCAGCATGGTGGTATCTTCATTAATTTCAAGAATGCAAACATCATGTATTATCGTCATTCAAACCAAGATCAATATAATACAGTTAATATAAAAACAAAATGTGTTAAGCATGGTCTACTAGCAAGTCACTGCCCGACGGACTCTTGCACGTTACGGAATAATGCCCAACTTCAGCACCAGAACAAACCGAAGTTTGACGGGCTAAGTCAATGTATGATGTAACGGTATATACGTTGCGATAATTCACAACCCTTTAACCGATTGATTACCAGAAGGTAATCCATCAATATATAAGTTCTTATTATACAGTGCTAGGTTTTACCTTTCCGTCTTTAGTATGGATTCCAAGACCAATTCTGTAGATTTTCTTGTTGATTTCTGTACGGTGATGATAACCCTTTTGTCCAGCACGTGCAACCGTGAATTGGACACGACTGGGATGCCACGCTCCGATACAGGCAACTTTACGCAAACCCTTGTGAGTTTTACGCGGTAGTTTTTTTGTGTGCCAACGTGACGTGACACCCTTGTATCCACGACCCTTGGTGACACCGATACAATCGATCATCTCGTCGGGAGCAAAGACATGAGAAACTGGCACTGGTTTTTCGAAATGTTCCTTAGCCCATTGCACTTTTTCTTGAACTGTTCCTCCGTTGACTTGGATTTCCATAATGTGAGCCTTCTTTTGTCTTTTTTTTAACAGTTTCATCTAAAGAAATTTTTTTTTTATATAATAAATCTGATCGGAAAGAAATACACAATATAACAAGGGGAATTTGCTTTAATAACCTCAGACCGCCCTAGGGGTTGACATCAAAGAATTTATTCAGTGTCTAACTGTAATATAATTATCTTCATCATCGGTAATATAGTACAAAATTAGTCAAACCACAATTTTCTTAATTATAATTTTATTAATATACAGATATAAATGATGAAAATTAAGGAAACTGTAATAAGCATGATTTAAAGATGTAATTACCTGAGTGTGGGCAATAACACGGATGACTTTCGAGTACTTGGAGATCTTGTTAAGATCCTTCGATATTTGTTTCTTGCCGTTTTCATCTTGCCACTTTCTTGCGTACTTGACAAAAGCCTTCTTCTTTGATTTGTACCTAAGGTTAACATAGAAATGAAGAAAGGGTCTCATCAATGACTAAGTCATGAGTGGAGACGACACAGTCTTCTTGCTGTTTTTCAAACAGTTTGAATCAACAGCAAACAATTTAGCTCTCATCCGCTAGCGGAGAGGAGAGATCCACAATTAAAATATTTCAAAAAGTAAAATTTGAAATTATACTTTCATCAATTGATATTATGTTACAAACAAGCCTCAGACCGCCCTAGTAAATTAACATCAGGAGTTCAGGTTGTTTCTAACTGTAATATAATAACTAAATCATCATCGGCTTGGGTCAATGTAATCAGATAATTTAAAAGAATATCGTACAATTGATGTATAACTTACCAGTTTTTATAGAAACGACGACGGCAATCCTCAGACAAATGTTCAGCAAACACTGTCTTAAGAGGCTTGAGCCCGTAAGGAGTCTCGACGTAACCAACGACACCAACAATTATCATTGGTGGTGTTTCCAAAATGGTTACTGGCTCAACAATTTCTTTCTTGTTAAGCTCTTAAAATAATTTGATAAATAAATTAAAACACACATACAAAAAAAAAAGTTTATCATTTTGGTCTTACTTGATCCAGGGCGATCAGCTTCACGTACGACGTGGGTCATACCAGCTTTATAACCAATGAAAGCAGTCAAATGAATCGGTTTGCTTGGGTCATCTTTTGGGAAAGACTTTACTCTACCACGATGACGACGTGCACGCTTTTTCGGGTAGAATCCCATAGAACCATGGCGAGGAGCACTAAATTTACGATGAGACTAAAAGACAAAATAAAAATTATGTAATGAATATTACTTCTTGGAATAAATGTTCTATTATCAACACATTATGAGCAATACTGGACTTAACGATATTGAAATTCTACTATATCCAATCTTAACATTTACGGTTTCTTACTTTATTTAAAACCTTGACATTAATTATTTAATCTTAAATTATTGAAATTTTTTTTTTTTAGAAACCATTATTTGTTATTTTAAATTAAAAAAAAAATTGTTTATTACCAGCTTTGAACTAAGTAATTATGTATTTAAATGACATCCAGCTTGATTTATTACATCAGTTGTAAATGTAAGATATTAAATTACTCAAGACATATTACTAGGATTGACCATGTGGTCTGGGTAATAGGGTATATTAAATCTCAAGTTTGAAATAAACAGTAAAAAAAAAAACATATTATTAGAGCTACGATAAACATTATTAGAAACTATCCAGATACATTTAAGTATAGTGTGCATTGAAGTCATAGTAATTCTTAAACGTGTCACAAGCATTTGAATAAGAAACAAAGGTAGAAAAGACTAGCCGGCTACTTTAGTAAATACGAATTTATACAGAAACCAGACAAGTCACTAAAAACACGTGTCGATTGTTGTCAATTATTTATGTATATCGAACTTAGATAACCGCCGCCTTCTAGAGTTTTGCTTAAAGGCAAAAAATAATAGAAAACATTAGGATATGCGAATATAAAGTTAGGGTATGTTTAGAAATCAATTGTACTTGACAACAATACGATTAATGAGTACAAGAAGTACTTGTATAGACGGTCCGATTCAAACCACAATCCAAGTGTTTGTAGGTAAATGAAATAGTAAACAGAACACGTCAAAATTGACCGACTACATGAGTAATAGGCCTAATGTCAATATAAATCAAATTATTCAATTTTTCCCATATATCATGAAAGAAATAGTTTCCAACCTAGAACCAGCTAGAAACCGTCAGTAGTTTAAAGTAAAGGGAATGCCCTACACAGTAGGACCTACAGCAAAAACGATAGTCAACAGGGACATAAATCAGACACGTGTCACAGGTGAAAAATTGAATTAAATTTTTTTAAAAAATTATTTTGTGTTTGTCAAAGAACTGATGAAAACAATGCTAAATGAAGATATTAGTTTGGATTGAACAGTGTAAATACTTACCATTGTCGACGGTTCGGCGGATGTCTATGGATGAAAAATGAACTATGTAAAACACAAGGCCTCAAGAGCCGAAAAAGACAACCTTCGACCACTGAACGGTCAATGAAGGCGTTGAACGAAATGAGAGAGAATGGGTCTGCAGCGGCAGTCGGTAGAGGTAACCGCTTGATGATGTGACCACAATGGCCGCCGTTGGGTGTGCTGGCATCGGTCGGTGGGTGGGGGAGTAACGCTACGGTATCCAAAGGGTTTACTAAACGTATCTCCAAAGAGTATACTATTATTAACGTTTGAATTTTAATAAATGATAACAGCTGACCTAAATGATAACTGCGCTTTTTAATCAATTCAGACGCGGCGTAAATCTCAATATATATATGTGTAGCACATAAACGATTATTTACAATCAGACATAATCGGTAAATATTTGAAATTTGAATCGTAAAACGTAAATGGTAATCCGATATTAATTGTACGCTAATATTTCTATTAGCTCGACTATGAACGGTCCACCGAAGTCGGCAATAAGGTGGTTGCGTTTCGTTATCAAATCAACGGGACTTAAAGGTCAACAGGTTCATTGATTGTTTACTGCAGTCAATATCCCGTCTGTATGGTAGTCTATTTTTGCACTTGCTTTGTAACTTTCGGGCTTATCGAAATCCTGGTTTCTCCGGTGAGACGTTCCTCGAAATAGAACAATAGTGTTCTGTCAATAGTCTTAAACTGGAATCGCTGTCAGTCTATTTTCACCGAATGTTGCCGAACGTTGTAGGCTGTGCAAAAATGGAAACCTACAAGTGCTCCCTGTCCGTGGTGGACGTTTATGACATAGCTCAGGACATTGGTCGAGAGTTTGAATCTATGATGGACGCCTACGGTACAGATGCCATAACGGGACTGATGCCGAAGGTAGTAAACGCTCTGGAACAATTGGAGATGTTGGCCATGAAGAATGAGCGTGAAAACACAACTGTCGACGACTTACGTGCTACTATACAACAACTGGAAATGGACAAACAGGAACGAGCTGAAGAAAAACTCAGATACGAACAGGTGCTGTTTCTTGTATGACACATAAAACAAAATTATTTATGAATTAATGCTATTGTTTTGTTGTGTAGGAGATGGAACAAATTGAAGAAAAGTGGCGAGAGGACTATAATGAAATGTTAACCACTGTTTCAAGATTGCAAGACGATAACCGTAAACTGACTGAGTCCTTACAAGCTGCAAAAAAAGACAAAATTGTTGAAACTAGATGTACATATACACATAACAAATCGTTTATTAGTCTGATTGGAAATTAGTATTTTTTTTTTTACGTTTTAGCACAAGTTTTGAGTCCTGATCTTGATACTGTAGCACTTCAGCGCCTCCGTAACACTGTAGACCAAATGAGAGATACTGTTAGAAAACATGAACACGAATTGAATTCAAAAAGCAATGAAATCGATTCTGTAAGTTTAAATGATAAACATGGATATTTTTATTAATAATAATATTGTTTTAAAAATTAATTTATGGAAATATTTTTGTTTGTCAAAGCTTACTATTCAAACTGAAAGGCTGCAAACTACTTTAAAAGAGCTGCGACGTAAACATCGTTTTACTCAAACTCAGTGTCGCAGTTTAGTTGAAGAAAGAGCCGATATTCTTGCTCAGTTACAGTCACAACAAAGAGAATTCATATCATTAAGACAAAGATATGGCATGGCTCAAAAAGAAAACGAGGATCTCTCTAAGTACAGAGTAAGTAGTGAATTATCTGAAAGTAATACCGTAGATCACAAATGAACAATGTCTGAATACTTCGTGTTGACATTTTTTTTTTGGATTTCATAATAGTTTTATTATGGTTAAATCCAGAAATGCAAGTAATGTCTATGTATTGTATATTAATTCATTGGTAATACAAATATATTTATAATAATCAATAATTGTTCTTTTCAGGATGATATGCCCGATTTAAAAAACAAAGCCATATATGATTTAGACGACCCTGATAGACCCAAATTTACTACAAATGAACTTAAAGATATATTGACTGAACGTAATAACTTGAAAACCCGTGTCAACGAATTAGAAGACGAACTCCAACAGTATAGACCAATGGAACAAATGGGAGCATCGTAAGTTTAACATTAACATGTATTGATTAATAACGCATTAATTAATGTGTTTTTAATCGATGGCATGATCTTCTATAATAAAATGAACTATGTTGTTAAAAAACAACAATAACACTTATAGTATTTAAGGGGAATGGAAAGCGCCATATTTGTATTTAAATTTAGACCAAAAAGTTACTTTCTGAAGTGTTCAACCAACCAATTTTTTTTTTTTAAAGTTTACCATTTTTTTTTTATGGCTAAAAGCTGATTTTTTAGTTTTATTTTTAAAATTATAGTATAAGGGTTAAATTTTTATAGTTTTTTCTAAAATATCTAACTAATTTTCTAATTGCTCAATAAAAAATCAGCCTTTTAATCCCCATAGAAAAAATAGTAAGAATCACATAAAAAAAAAAACTTAAAACTGTCGAATAGATACACCAGAAAATGACTTCTACAAAATTAATTTTTTATCAATCTTTTGCTATGACTTAGAGAAAAATAACTTGATAAGTTTCATAACTAAAAAAACTTAATATAACTTCATTTTATAATTAGTCGGCACATTTAAAATGGCTACTAGATACATTTTTGTCAAATATTGCCTATCTTTGGCCCCTTAATAAATAGCCTTTTCCGTTCCCTTTGATTATTTTAATTATATTATTACCATTTATTTTTTGGCCCAGAGAAATGCCTAAACATATTTTGCTGGTATTTATACTAAAACATTTTTAAATAATAATGATTAGAAAATTTACCGGCGTAAGCATTAGTTCCTATTGTTCTAAATAGTTATTTCAAATAAAAAGAGATGAAGCCTTAACCCATTCTAACCTAAGTATGTATGGATGCGTAAGAGATAACAATTTTGTTTAAAAAAAATAAATACGATTTTCTTACTTGTGTTTTTCAAAAAATATTACATTAGAAATAAAGTTTGCACGTTTTTGTGGGAAACATAAGACGCATATTTTGATATTAATTATTTGTAATATCTTAACTAGATAAGTTGTGGTACCAAAAATTAAAAAAATATATATTTGTTTATTGTACTTTCATGAACGGTCTGAAAGAGTTGAGAGAAATACTTTGCTTTGTACATTTATAAATTATTTACTATTAGAACAATAATTTTTGGACTTTGAGTCTAGTGCTTATGCCAATTTGATTTATTGATCATTAAAAAATTGCTAATAGATTTTTAGAAATAATCTAAAACATGTCACTAAATTTGCACGTTATTATTTTCCTTTTGCACGCTTGGTCGATTTGCTTTCAAAACGCTTGGTTTGCCTCAACTCTACCACTTTGTGCATGTTACTTATACATTAGCCAGACAAGAGATGAAATCCAAGAAACGCGGATACGAAGAATTCTGTTACGACAATGGAACAGAATGGACCGAAAAACTATTTTCCCCATTTCAGGCGTTGAAGAAGACACGCAAGTGTCAAGCATCGCCTCTGAAAACTCGTCCGACATAACAACATCACCTTGCAGGTAATGCTATTTGTAATTCTTTTTGCACATCGCTTTGTAAATATCGTAGTCAAGCTAATTGTAGATCACTCGGCGTTTTAAACAAATTTGGTGATAGATTGTTTTAAATCTTGTAATTGAAAATCAATGTATTTCTTTAAGCGTTTGACAATATCTCGTTAATCCAGAACAATAAGTGTGTAAGATTGTGTTGGAAATAAGTTTGTCGCTAAGAAAAAATATTACAGTAAAATGTGTTATACTTTTTAATATGAACATTTGTCTTAACATTAAATTGTTTCTAATTGGGATATTTATATTTCAAATCAGGTCCGACGACGAGCAGGAAGAGGGACCTGTTCAAGGACCTTTACCCCTCGAACCCGACGATGCACCATGGAAACGATCAGAATCGGGTATTCGTAAATTGTATGTATAATTTTCATTAATACCTAAAAAGTGCTTAACTGTTGTAACTCGTGTGTATTCATGGTACGATTTTTTGTATTTACAGTTTTCGTAAAATGTTTGGCGAGACGAGCAGTATGTCATTTCCTAAGACTAGCCCTAAACACTCTAAGTTATCGTTACCCAAAATGGCTGTATCCTTTGGCAGTTCGTCTATTTTGGGACCACCTGAAGTATGATAAGTGCTAACCACTGATCTCAAAATCGTATAACATATTTTTTAGTTTTCGACAAGTATTCTAAGTATTTTCATTATAGTTTTTTATGAGGATTGAATGATGAACATATAAATTAATTTTTCATATTTTTGAAGACTTGAGATTATTATTATTATTATTTTTTTGTTTATAAATTATTATTACTATTTCAATGTTTTCGTGTTTATTTAAATTATTATTTTTATTATTATTTTTTATTGCATTATCTAAAATTTGGCAGGGGTATAGCTCGTGTGCATATTTATTATATATATTTTCATCATATTGAGTTCTATGTAATTGCTTACGAAATCATTATATACATATTATATCGATTGTAATATTATCATCAACAAAATACTGTAGCGTCCAGTTTCTAATTAGTATATAATGTTGGCGCACTGAGTAAAATTATAATTTATGTATAAATGTGTGCCATAATATTTATTATGAGTCAACGAGTCTGTTTCATTGAAGAAAATATATTATTAAATGCGTTACTGCGATTTTTTTGTTTAAAAATTTACATTAAAACAATTATTGACATATTGCAAAAAAAAAATGTTATTGTTTAACTAACTTTTGTGATATCATAAAGTTAAAAAATCCCATGATAATTTGTATTTATTTTATGATGTATTATTATAATTTTTTGAAGTTTTTAAAAAACGCTATTTTTCCAATTACAATGATTAAAAACCGTACATTTCATTGAACGATAGTTAATAGTTAGGGCTAACGCTTTTGACCTACAATTGTAACTCTTATTATTATAGAGTGAATATATTATATAAATATATAACCTTATTAACGTAACAAATACCTACAATAAATATACAAGTATGTTTATTATGGAATACTTGAACATTTATTTTTTTAGTGTAATGTTAAATTTTTTTTATGTAATTAAATATTTCTGCATATTTTTCATGCTGTGCTTTTTGTAAAATATGAACTGTAACACGTGCTTCAAAGTTATTATAAAAGAATACCAAATTGTAATTTATCGAATGAAATCAAATAATCAAATAAAATATTGTGATAAATAATTTTTTTTTTCTTCTAATACTTCCTTTTGAACACAAATTCAAATTTGAATATTTTAAGCATGTTTTATACATTATTCATCTAATAATATTTAATGTACATATCAAATTATAGAATTACAATTTTCAATAATACAATTAAAAAACATTAAACTATTAAATATTGATATCTTTTTTTGTGAAAACATATTTAATATATTCTATTTAAGTCGAGAAACATACTCGGTGGCCACACTAATAGACCCCCAGCATACAAGTCAGCCACTGAGTATGTTTCTTTACTTGAATAGGGTATAGTGTATAATCATAATACTGTTTAGTAATACAGTACGAGCCAAATATATAAATTATTTAAATTTTACATTAAGTTTAATTATTTACAAACACATTTAATTCTTGTTGAAGCCACTAATTTTATCAGAAAGTGAATATCAGTTTAGTGGTTTTATTAAAATAATAAGAATTCAGAACTTTTTGTATACACCCGAAATAAAATTCTGATATTTATTTTCGGTAGCTCGCAAGTTTAGAGGCGATTAAATTAACAACTATTTTAACCATAAGAGTGGCGCCTTATATCAGACGAATCACCCTGTAGACGTGCTAGAGAAAAAGTGTCCAGGACGAATTCGGATTTAGTAAATGAAATATACATATGTACCTATTTTGATTCTTGAATATTGTTCCAAAAAAAAAATGTTAATTAAAAAAAAAAAACTATTCAAGTTCTCTAAACCGATTACCGTCCACGGGAACTCGAAATCCGTTCGAGTAATCCGCGGCAAGGCAGACACCGCACAATAAGAAGAAGCCGTCGGTTATTATGCGCTTGGCCGAATCGTTTTCGGTCAAACGCACTCTCCTCTGCAAGCTCTGTCCTTGTGTTCCTTTCGATGCTTTGTAATAGTACCTCTACTTTATTATTCCGTCCGATCGGTTTTTGTATTATTTATATATATATACAGACTACAGTGTACACACACACACGGTCGTCATCATATTATTATCCTCTGCGTGCGATATCTCCCCTTTCTTGTGTGTGTGTGCACCTTGCCCGGCAACGATCCTCTTCGGTTTCAAAAGCGGCTCTGGGGACGCGTCTCAAAACGCATTTTATTATTGTGTGTGTATTTTTTTTTTGTCAAACATGTTGCATCGGAGGAGGACTCGGGGGAATACCACACGAGGGCGGCATTGGGGAGAAGGAGCCGCCGGTCGCCCGGGGGATCGGTTATCGTTGTCGCGCTCCGCTGGTCCGCCTTGTTCGCCGGCACTTAATCACAAACGCGTTCCGCTCGTCATCCGTCGACTCGGAACTGATTACACCACACTCCCCGACGACCGCCATTTATTAACATATTAATATATTATGATATTATTATAACGAATATAATAATATATACGAATATTGGGGTTTATTAGACGACGGTATGCTGGAACAGTCACCGCACTGCGTTGTTGTCGCTTTACACGTCTCTGCAGTGGCGTGCGCAGGAATTTTGTATGGAGGAGGGGGTGTCATAGGCTAGTACAACGATTAACGAAAATGTATTTCAATCTTTATTATAATAACAAAAAAATATTCACAACGGTATTTATTACTGTTTGCTATTGAACTGATAAATTATGCATACTTTTAAAGAATTATTAAATATTTGTATTTACTAAGTACTACCAATATTTATGAATAACAACACTATACATAAAAAATGTATACTAAACTATTTAGTAGGTAACTAACAAACTATAGCTCTAATCGAGGCGGAAATTCATTCTCCTGGCTTTTACAGAAAACTCATTTATAACCTGTTCTGAACTTATGGGTTCACGTTCACTATTTTCATTATTTTATTTTTTTTTTTTTAATGTAAAATGGAGCCACTACGTTTAGGCATAATGAAAAATAAGTAATAACTTATTAGACGTTTTTACTTTAACTTATTATTTAAACGTTGAAACATTAAATTTAACGAAATTTAGCTAATAAAATACATATTGATAAATAATAATGTTATTGATTATCACTATAAAATATAAACACAGTACACAACAAAGAAACTACATTAATTTTTTGATTTCCACCAACTTTATATGTAATATATATATATATATATATAACCACGGTCCACAGATAGAGTGTAATTGTCGTTACTGGTTAGTGGTTAATGTTTGTGGTATCACTTATCAGTTATGTATAAATACATATTATTTTGAATTTAATAAACTTAAATGTTAATTTCATGTTGATGAATTGTCATGTTTAAAATATAAAAAAAAGTCCCATAGGGGGGGATATATCCCCCATCATCCCCCCCTGTATACGCCACTGCGTCTCTGGTACGTTCAATTAGGTATAGAATACGGTTCTGTTGTATGGTTGCACGCGCACTATGGTGTTGGTTCGTATAACCAGCATGACTATCTACTAGTATACTTAATGCGCGTAATCTATCGACTCTAGAGAAACGGAGAGAGGTCGTGGGCCAAAAATGCTTGGGCAATTTGTTATCAGGTATCACATACTCTTTTGGCTCGAATTGGTTTTCGGGTTCCTAGGCTCAATGCTTGACCTATATAGCTCCGGTCAGAAGTGTGTTTTTGGAGGGTGACCCACTAAGAAGAGCTGTGTCTCGTGAGAATGCTAAATCTTAATTTTATTAAGTTATATTGAATTTTTAATTATGTATTAAGTGTATGAGTTTCTATGTTATTATGTGTTATTCATACCTACTTTAATATTATTATACTACTGTGTACCTACACCAACAGTGACCACCAACGTTGCAGTGCCGTTTATGCTGGTAGTGACGCTTGTCGGGTAATTGTAATGCGCAAAGTAAATATATAATATGGTTTCATGATTTATAAAAAAAAAAATTAGATAGAAATTTAAAAGTAGGTTGAAAAAAAAATACGTGGAATAATTAAGCCAGAATGTTTGCACTTGTCAACTGTTAGAGTCTAGAAATAATACAAACAAATATTTATAATTTCGACATTAAATTAAGTTTTAGGCTAAAGAAACGTTTACATTTTAAAATAGCAGTAGACAAAATTGTTGGCCTTATATCATAAATCATTAACAAGAACATCAAAATAAATGTTTTACATATTTTGTTCACGTATTCCTACTATTATTACGAATTTGATCGATAGAATAGCATACACAATAATACATGGTTAACATTTTTAATGTAAACACTAGTGATATTTCAACCAAAATCAGAAGTATTAGATAGTCTAAATAATGCATCAGAGAAATGAAAAAATATACCTACTCATATTAAACAAAAAACAGCTAAGTAAATAAATTATCTTAGGGCCCAAAATAAAATATATTTCGATTTTATTGTTTCGATCGACATAAAAGCCTACCCATATTCACAAAAAACAGTTAATTTAACAAGCTGATCTACCTGATGATTTTCATTTCAATCATTAAAATAATATAGGTGTACTATAAAACTTCAAATATTGTTAGTATGATTTTATATATTTTATTAAGTTTTTTTAGTTTATTATTTTTTTATTTTTTTATTTGCCTGCGATACATTTTTAACCAAGTTCTACTACAGAAATTGTACACGCCACATCAAAAGTAAAAAAAAACTTCCAGTTGAAAATCAAAATCAATAAAAAAAAACCTAAAATTTAACATGAATTTTAAATTTTACAACATATAATGTATGAGGTACATCTAGCGTGGAGCTATAATAAACTTTTATAGTTTTTTTTATAGAAATCTCTGTTCAAATAATTTTCTTATAATAAGATGGAAACCAGCAAACACTGCAATATTATTACTATTTTAAAATGAAAAATCAATTCAAGTCAATACCTAGTTCAAGTTTACCTACACGAATTTCTAAAGTGTCACAAATCAAAAAATAATGTTTTAGGAATACTGTCGTTGAATAAATCGTTTAGACAGCTAACTAAAAATGATTAAAAAATTAATTTTTTTTTCAAAATTATAGGCGCGAGAACATAATTGTACAATATTATTATTGCATTATTATTTTAAAAAAGTGGTTATTTATTCTTATTATACTTCTGTCACTTTAGAAGAATTGCTTGTGCGTAATAGGCCATGTTTGCATTGTTTGGATTCACATTGAGTCACATAAATAAATAAAACAATTTGCAAAAAAACCCATTATTCTATTATCTTAGCTCCATATTGAAGCTACTAATGAAATGGCGACTGAGTCTTGTATAAACATATTCATAATTTATTTTTATTATTGATTGCAGATAAATATGAAACATTTATGTATTTTAATATCATTTGCCTTTGTAAATATTTCGGTTGCTGTATGCGGTGATTATTTCATTTTTACTCATAACTACATGAGGTTGTAGAAATCTATAAACTAAATTCAATATTTATCTTTTTTTTTTTATTAAAGGTGAATATATAAAGCAGATGATCATGACAAGTCAGTAAACTTTTTTGGCATAGAAAATATTTTTTTAAGTTTTACTTTTTTAAAATTTATTACAGACAAACACATTGAGCAAGCAGGAGGTAAAATATACTTAAAACACTAAAGCATAATGTTTTTGATAATTGTCCGATTATCAAATGATGTTTAAATTAAAAATTTTGGTTTTTATAATCTATTCAGATTAAGAATAAATTATATGCAAAGTACTAGTATTTTAAACTAGGTGTAAATTTATATAAATAAAATAATTTATAATTATACTCAGATAAGCAATTTTTATAATTTAATTGTAATAAATTTGGCTAAAGGCAGTGGCTATTTAATACAACAAGATAAGTAGCATTATCTGAAATGGGCTAAAGCACAGTGTATTTATAGATAAAAATAAAACTTACATAATTCCAATTACTTTAAGATAAAATTAATGTCTTATCATTATCACCCTGTAAATGGATGTATTATTTTTTTGGTTTTTATAATATACATATTATTTAACTATATAAATTTGTTCTAGCTTATTTTTATGGCCTAAACCATCATATTTGTTTATTCTAGCTAAATTGCCGGAAATAATTGAACGTATTGTTCTTTATGTGTCAAAATATAAGATAGGTAATTATAATTAAAAAGTATATAAAATAATAATTATTTATCTACAGAATGCTGTAGATAATGACATTAACACATTTATGTTATGTTCATTTCAGAGGACTTATCGCTCATGTTGGCTGTACCAGGTAATAATTTTCTTAATATTTTACAGAAACGTTTCAACATATTTATGTGATATGCATTAGGTATTAATGTTTGAATTTTTTTATTTCAGAAAGTGAATACGTGCACCCAACGCGTAATAACTAACCTTCATATATTTCATATTTATAATACATTACTCATAGTCTTCTTTGTAAATTATTTATAATATATTGAAAATAATGATATAATAACTTGATGATTTCTATCTTCTGATGTATTTTGATTGAAATTCAGGAATGTTACAATGCCAAGGTCAAATGCGATCAGAAGTAAGGCGCACAATAGGTAATAATATTATAAAACTTAACTTTTTTACACACATTTTTTTTTTTTTGAACGCCTTGTAGATATATAGTGTATAGTTTATATTATGTATGTATAGCTTTTTTTTAAATGCTTAAGTTTAAATTGTGTTTTGTAAAACTATTGGTTTAAATAAAAAATGTTGTCATAAACATGTTTTATTTGAACTCTTTTAATATTTGTCAAGTTATTGACAAAACCACCAAATGTTGATCTTTCCGAAGCTTATAAAAAAAAAGCTCCAGTCCGATCTATAGAGAGATTTTATGTATATGAAGTATACATATCAATAAGGTTTTGAAAAAAAAATGCTTGTTGAAAATTGTTTCCTCTATTTGCCAAACTTATATCCGTATTCATTGGCCTATGAACAAAAAATGGGTTTTTTAATCGTGGCTATTAGAAGTTTACATTTTTTACTGTATTTTACATTCATTTATTTGTCAAAATATTCCACATTTTATGATGACAGTTATATCATTATAGATGAAGTAAAAATAAATTATTTTTTAACTGTATATTAATTTATATTTTGGTTACAGGTCACTATAGACCTTTGATAAACGAAAGTAATTACAACTAATTATAAATATTCTAGAGGTTTTGATTGGTATATTGCTAATGTATACGTGACTAAAGGCGGGGGACTGACCCTTGCAGTAGGCCGTTGATTAGTCTATGCTTCCTTTATTTTTATTGAGTTTATCGAGCTATACATATATTTGACAAAAAGTACAGAACGAGTAAAAATCATAAAAATGTTACTTCGACTAACTTATAAATTAGGTACTCTCTGTCAGAAGGGTAATGAATGGGCCCAATAAGGTGCCTTTCGGGTATGATTTGTGATTTATAAATTTGTTACATGAAGGAATCGGTTCAGCAAATAGAAGATATCGTGGGCCCAGACATAAAAAAAATAATACATTAAACACACTTTATTGTAATATACCGCAAGGATATTTCTATTTTTTGGGCCAAAAAATATAAAATCTGAAAATATGTTATTTGTAAAAACTATACCTTCTGAACTCCGCATCGAGTACCGTTTTCTAAATTTTAAAGGGAAAGGGGTTAAAAAGTTTTTGGCTCAATAAATTATCTTTATTTACTAATGGCAGGTTGGCAAATATCAGCAACATTACAGTTCTTTATAAAATATCACTCAACTATATCAAGAGCAACTAATACATTATTTTTTGTAAACTCAATTTTTGTAATCAATATTTGTTGAATTTTTGTATTTCTTGTTTTTAAGGCGATTTTGAAGAGGTCCAAAGAAATGGTCTTATTAGTTTAGGAATGGCAAGAAGAAATATAACTAGAGAAGCTGTAAAAACTTTAATTCTTGCTCGTATAGGTAAATATTCAAATCTATTATTTTAACCATTATATATATGTATATCTAATGTACCTAATTAAATACAATAATTGTACTATTTTAATTATACTAGGTTTATTAGCTTGATGTTTTTTTTTTAATAGTAACTATAACAAAAAAAAAAAATCAATTTACAAACATTCTTTTTTGTCACAGCAAAGATAAATTTAGTTATTTTAATAAGAGTACTGTAGAGCTCGTACAACATGAATATTTGATTTAACTTTATTCCTAACATACCCTTATTAGTAATATTACGATTAGACTTTGTTTTTCCAGTTCAGTTCTTGTTTTATAATTGTCAATGGACTCTTTTGTTTTAATGTTAATTTATTTTTATCAATTATATTATAGAAATTACCTAATAATTTTTAATTAGAGTAGACAATTGTACATATAAAATAGCTTTCATCACGAAAAGAATACTTATCCTACAAGTAATACAATCAGAGTTTTATTGAAGACAGTAAAACTTTGATTTCCAATGACAGTGTTGAGTTATTTATAAAATAAATAATTCATTAAACAAACTATTTTTTTTTTAAATTAATTTTTTAGAACTTTGATGCATAATAGGTCAGGATAGAGTGTGCTTCCGTGTTCTCTCCATTTCAAAAAAAAATGTATTGACTGAGAGTAACATGTATGTGCAATACCCAGTGTATTGTATTATTTTTCTATGATTTGTTATAGACCTGTATAAATGTTTTCTTGCAAATGGAGAAAAGTAGTAGCAAATAAGCTAAATCGGTTTTTTTTGTTTTTAAGATAAAAACCGAAATCGAGCTGTACCAATGGAATATTTCAAAGATTCTCCCGTGATGTGTCGTTTTATAGGATTGTTCAGAAGTATTAAATACCCCAATGCATACATAATAGAAGCGAAGATTGACGAGACTGAAACTTGTACTCTTAAAGATTTGAACGGGATCGTTATCAGATATAAAACCTCCATTCTAGGCAATATTTGGAGTTTAAACTCTAATAATCAACTAGCTAAACCATTTGCTGCAGAGTTAAATAATTTGGAACTGGAATCATAAGGATTACATTTTTTACAGCACTATTGGTATCAAATTTAAATAATTTTTTCATACTGCAGTAATATTCAAGTTGTCAATAAATGTGAAGTATTTTCAATAATAAAAAGTTTTAATTACGACTATAAACACATATTTCGTTGCTTATGTATTGGATTTATATTGTTATTTAATAATTGTTAACACATTTGGATAATATTATAATAGTGGCGTAAAACTTCCCATACTTGTAGTAAAAAGGCATAAAATATTAATATTAATTATAATTAATTAGTTTGACCATTTAAAACTAAAACTAAAGAGTTGTCTGCAGACAAGGTGTACCACGTGAAAATAGATAATGAGAAAACTCGTTATCTATATAAGACACTGAAAACTGCTAAACTAATTTTACTTACGATCAAATTAATGGTTTTTTTAATGATAAAACTTGTAGCTAGTAAAAAATATTTTGAAAATTATTCTCTTATAAACTAATAATTATAGACATCCATTCTTATCACAGTAACAGATAAATTTAGTTTTTTCTATAAAAGCTCGCACAAAATGGATATTTGTCTACACTTTATTCCTAACATAAACTATTTAGTAATAATATGATTAGACTTACTCTCTACAATTCAATACATCTTCTTTGGTCGTTTATGGACTTACTGTGCTGATTTTTCTAACTTATCTAAAAGATAATGTTAAAAAGCCAAAAAGATCATAATGATAAACTTAATAAAAAACTTTTCATTTTTAAAAATGACCGTTTCTTGTTTTTTATAATGTAAAAATATATCTGTTCATGTATATTATAAATGTATATATTTCTGGCTCAACTATAAAACAAAGATTTCGAATAGATGTTTTTGAACTTAAAATTAGCCCATTAACCATAATTATGGGGTTATTATGATAAAAGTTATTTTTTTATTGTGCAATATAAGATAACCCTTATTAACCTCTTTTTGGTCTTTACAATGAGCCATAAGACTTTAAAGGTTAAGTCGTAAAATCACTTGGAAATATTATGTATTTTACTGCACACCTAATGTGCACATTACTCCGATAATAACTTTTATAGTGCTTAATAAGAGTTTAGAGTTACCGTGCAGTGTATAGCTTTGTTTTTCATTTTTAAATTTAAGTCAATTAAGAGTACACTGTGGCAATATAGATCCCAAGTTGGTATAGTAGGTATATTTCAAAACGTTTTGGTGAAGCATTATATTTATTTAAAATGCCGGTCGTGCGCGGACGGGATTGTTTACTTTTCGGAAGGGTGTGTGCGTGTGACTGATCCCCACAAATCAAAAATGAAATTTGAATAACGTTTTTATCTGCTTTGAATAATTTTATCAGCATAACAATATGGTTACTATTACACAATGCATCATCAATACACATACAAGATAAACGCAAAGCAAGCTTTTCTCACGGTAATTTCGGTTTCAATTGTTGATAGTATACATATTATAATTATATATATATATATATATATATATATGATTTACCCAGAAACTATCGATTTAAATTATATTTTAATAATATTATATTGATATAATCTCTTAAGCTCGATTCATACAAATTACAATATATATGTATTTATCCATATAGGTAAATATTACTTCCGGTCATTCTGGGGTCATTACTGATTTAATTCAGTACATTTAATTTTGACGAAGTTTTTCGTTAATATAAATTGATTGTATAATTAAAATCCTAAAATTTAAGTTTACATTTACCCCATAATTTACAATTACGACTTAATTTCGAAGAAAATGTAATTACCTATTGATATTATAAACACACTTTTGTATAAAAAGTTGTCTGACAGATCAAACAAATTTTTGAAGTGATGTTAAATCTACAAGATTTAAAATACTGCCACCAACATACCTACTTTATGAAAGATACTATTTAACGTAAGTATGGTTATAATCCAAAATGGGTTATTGCCAAATTTACAAAAATCGATTTAGACACAATATATTTTTTCTGTAAAAGTGGCCTAGAATTTTGAAGTAGGTTTCTTCGACATTTTTTTGATTATAACACGATTAAAAATGTGATATTTCCTTTATTTATGTTTTGCGTTTTACGTTTACGTCTCATCTGGCGTTGTATTTTTTAATTAATGTATTTATTTTTAAAAGACTTTTACGGAGTACCATCAATGGGTGAGTTCTCCACTAATACTCGTTGTAAAAAAAAAATTGCTTACTAATTGTATTATACAATTTGGTGTGGAAATCGTAGATTGACCGTGTGATTTGACACTTTATTAACTAAGAAAACGCGTGCCACCGCTTGGTACTTGGTTGTGGTATATTATTCATAATATGTAAAATATTAACATGTATATTGCGGGGTCAGAAGAGGACATGGACGAATATTCGTGTAGACCCGCTGCTGTATACAGTATCGTATATGTAGGGTCTAGGGTTCATCCCTTATTCGGTGGCTGGCGAGCAGAGGAAGAGGTCCCGTAGTCGCCGCGGCACACGCGCCCAAACATCCGCCTGCATTCTCCTCTGTGGCGATTTATCATCGGTCGCGTGTATAGATCCTCAGGGAACCACCGCACAGCTCCTATATACACCGTGTGCACCGGTGCCAAAATTGTGGCGACCAAAAAAAAAAAAAAAAGTAAAAAGGGTCCTCCTCTTCTGTTGTTACATATTATGCGCTCCTCGCTCTATCCGGCGGCTAAACTCCTTTTTTTTTTTTATTCTTTCCGTTCCCCGAGGAGTAAATACGTTTAAAAAATTTGTTATACTGTCGGCCCATGGTACAATATAGTATATATATAATAAACGGGCGTTTAATCGACGGCACACGACATCACATGTTTATTTCACGGTCAATGCGATCCCCATCGTCCGCCCCATATAGGACCAAAATCTAACCGCGGTAACACGCGTTCAAATTAACCTCCCGCCGTTCCCGCCGAACACCTAAGTTGAACGGCGCGACGAATCCTATATATATTAGTGATCTACTAGTGTGGTAGGATCGCACGCGCTTACATCGACACCCCCTCCCCCTAAAAGCTACGGCAATTAACAACAGTGTGTTAGCGCCAATGTACAGTACGCAGTGATCATGTATCATATTATGTATGTGTATCCAAAGGCACATCCGCTGTTTTTGTATGTATGTTTTTGGCAATGTCCGTCTAAGCGCCATTGTCATTGTAAGCTGGGGCTTACTCGGATAGCACACCGATCGATCAGAAATCGTATGCGGTTAGAACATCATGGAGGGAGGGTAGAAATGAAAAAGTATGTCAGAAAGCCGGAAGATAATTTTGAAAAGTTCGTTAAAAAAAAAAAACTGTCTAGTCAGCGCGACTGTTCAGAAAATAAGACCCCCCCCCCCCAAAAGTAACTGATTTATAAAGAACAGAAAACGTATTAAACATTTTTTGTATTCTACAAAAGTTACCTATTACTTTCTAGTCGCAATATGCGGGCTATAGAGGAATTTATACGACCTTCTAGAAAACGTATACCTATCAGAAGGTAACAGTCGCCTTACCTTAAAATTCCATTATAGCTTCATATTTTATTTTATTATAAACCTATACAAATAACACGTTACCTGAGTTTATCATGTATAATAATGTGTATTGTTAACACGTGGCAACCGTTATATTGTTATTGAGAGAAAAAGGTGAAGACTTTCATAACGCCATAGTGTTGCAGTGACATTTGGTTTTGATTTTTGGCTGTTAAGGCTGGTTTTCTGTTCATTGAACCTTCGAAAATCCTAAAAAAGGTAAATTTACATTGTACTCAAATATTTTACATCGACCTAAGTCCTAACAGTGACTATTCGAGTTCTCACTGAAATACGCCTATTAACCTAACATTATTTAATGACGTTACAAAATGTATAATTCTCCCAAACACGTGTTAAAAAAAAATATTTATAGTAATTTTTTAAACCATTTAATCTAATCGTTTTAATTAATTTTTTTTTTTTTTTAATTATGTATATAATATGTTATGTATGTTCAAAGATATGGTACCTACATCTATTTAAAATTCTCTGTCAACTATTATATTAAGTATTTATCTTGTAAAATATATTTTAGTGACTGTCACTTTTAAAGATAAGAAAACCATAGCTTTACCTAATACTTGTATTATTTGAACGTTTCACTGGTTTTTAAATTTCTGTGTTTTTTTTTAATTGTGTGAAGTGTCTTAAATTGTGCCTATTTGATGTAGAGATGTATTCTCCGATACTTATTTTTCCTAAAAGGCTAAGCTCGCAAGTAGACTACAAGTTATAATTTATAAAACAAAGCTTAAAATATAGAACGCACTGCGCAATTTTTGACGGAGCTATATGATTGTATAAATATAAAAACAAGTAAAGAACAAAGGTATAATAAAAATTGTAATTATTTACGGCTGGAGGTGAGCACTGAAGTGAATGTTGACTGATCGACATTTTGGTTCTAACGCGTGACCTTTGATCCGAAACCTTTCAAAGCTACCTTTAATCCCTTTTGGTGGCAGGCTTTAAATATTGTAATTTGCATTTAAATAAAGTGTGATGATAGCTTTTTAATGGCGCATTATACTATAAACGTGATAGGTTTCACCGAGTGCCTGTTTGAAAAAAATGTATACCATGTTAAACGAAAGTCGGAACTGTATAGGTAATATTTAAATACTCGTGTACACGTGTCTGGTAAGTACAATAAACTCATATGTTTGTACTTTAACCCTCACAAGAGCGGAAACCGTACAACTGTAGCACTGTAAATGGTGTATACAAGGGTGGACATGAAGGGTGGTTGGCGGTTCTAGTAGTGGTAATACTGTAGTATACTACAGTAAATGGTAAATGTATACATTTACTAGCAAAAGGTGTTTGAGGAAATTATTTATAGACGTTTGATCTCCGATTTATATATATATTATGAAGGTTTTTTCTTTCAACCCACGCTCAAACGTTGATCAAAGGTTACGCCCCTCATTTAAATACATTTATTCAAAGATTACCATAAACGCCTATGAATAAATTACAGCCTAAGTTGAAGTTTTCAAAATTGGTATACACGGTGTCCATTTATTTTGTTGGAT